GCCGCCGCCGCCTCCAGCTTGTAGGCGCTGCTGCTGCTGGCCGGCGACGTGGCGCTCTTGGGCAGCGGCTGCAGCGCGTGCTCGGGCCGCTCGGCCTCCATGGCGAAGCTGACGGGCCTCAGGAAGCAGATGTCCAGGCTGGACTCGGACGAGGCGGGCGAGCAGTTGTCGAAGAGCGCCGGCGCCTGGAAGGGCTCCTCGTCGTAGGGCGCGGGCAGCGCGAAGATCTCGCCCCCGTACTCGAACTCCTCGTAGCCGGCGGGGACGAAGCCGCGCGCGTCCGGCAGGAGCTCGGGCGGCCCGCGCAGCGAGCGCTCCACGTTGCCCAGCGGCTCGGCCGGGGACGGCTCGAAGTCCATCTCCGGGATGGATTGCAACGGCCCGGCGAGCGCCTTCACGTCCTGCTCGGCCGCGCAGAACTGCGCCGGGGCCAGCAGGCTCTCGGGCCGCTCGTGCTTTCTGCCCTCCATCTCCCAGTCCCCCGGCTTCCCGGGCTGCATGCTCTCCATGAGGCTCTGCTGCTGTTGGCCTTTCTTCGCCGTGGGCATCAGATGTCTTTAAAGGGGGAAACAACACAAGACAGACGATCAAACAGTGCTGAGCTCGCTCCAAGCCAAAGCAGCCCGAGGCCAGCTCCTCTCCTCCCCTCCCAAATGCCTACCAAGCTCCACTAAGTAGGGAGATCTCTCAGGAATCCCTAGATCCGCCTGGAAGAGTGGAAACAGTGGCCAGGAAAGGCATCAGTCTCGACTTCCAAGCTAAAGTCACTTAGGCATCACATGGCCGACAGACAAAGGCTGGCGTTATCACTGGCCCGGTGGAAGCACCCAACCTCCCTGCCACCAGGCAACTCCCGAGACATCCCTTTTCAATTTCTCTCCCTTTGCTGTGGCAGCGTCACATACAGAATACTGGAAAGTGAACTCGGTACTGCCTCTAGATCTTCCCACATGAACAAGTGTGTTCCGAAATAAACTGTTGAACTCTGGACGGGGATAACACAGGATAACAGAATCATCAAGAGTAGTCCTGGCTGTCCTGGAACTCACTCTGTACCCCAGGCTGGCCTGATTAAAGGCGTGCGCCACCACCGCCTGGCTAAATTTGGGACCTCTGCAAAAGCACTATATACTTTGTTGTTTTGGTTTGGGGTTTTTGTTGTTGTTGTTGTTGTTGAGGATAAACTCAAATGTGTAAAATTTGCATTTCTATAATAAACTTTTTAAAAGTTTCGTGGCTGTAAAGCATCTTGATTGTGATCTCAAATGCACACCCACAAAACATTAATACAATGTAAAAGCTATCTGAATTTACCCAGGGTCTCTAGAGTTTTGTTGTCTGGGAGCACACAGCAATGGTTACAGTTTAACAAGTATAACACACCCATCAAATAGGATGTTTGTTGTTCTGCTTATTTACCAGACAGATATAAATCAACTACTGTACACTGACCAAAATTTTTATTCTATTTATTTATACTTTAATTCTTTGCCAGAAATGTATATGGACGCTTATGTGATACTAACCTTGAGTATCTTTTTTTTTTAAGATTTTATTATTTATTATGTGTACAGTGTTCTGCCTGCATATATGCTTGCATACCAGAAGAGGGCACTAGATCTCATTTTAGATGGTTGTGAGGCACCATGGTGGTTGCTGGGAGTTCAACTCAGGACCTGGAAGACTAGCCAGTGCTCTTAACCTCTGAGCTATCTCTCCAGCCTCTAACACTGACTATCTTAAGGGCTTGCAAGACATCAATCTTACAATGAAACTTAGGACTCACATTTACAGATCTGAAAAAAAAAGTGAATATTGATACTTTTATTTTCCCAACACAGAGTGTAATAACAGCCATAGTTTGGCCTGGGTGTAATGCAGACCTTTCCTCCTCTGTTTACTGTACACTGCTTCAAGAGTTGACGGAATTCACAAAGTGAATTTCTACTTTCCACCCGTCAGCACTTTCTAACTCTGCCTCTTAGCGTTCTCTGGGATCCAAGCATCAGATCAGCTGCTCGGCTGCTGTTGATATAGCAACGGATGCTCACGTGACAGCAGGGGCGGAGCTGGGTGCGGGAGGGTAGGGTTGGAGCATTTCTTCTGAGTGCATCCCACTGTCACGGACAGCCTCCGGGCCCCCGGTGGGGGAAGCATCTTGGCCAGCATTGGCACACTGGGAAGCCAGCCCTTTGTACAGCTTTGCCATAGACGACCTAAGGGAATGGAAATAATAAATCTCAGGTTGCACATTCTAGGAGACTGGCTCTCTGAACACAGAGATGATGTGACGAAAAATAGATCGGCCTCTCAGATGAAGCTGTCTGTGATGGGTTCTCTATCCCCGGAGCCCTCTATAAGCCAGGTGGCTTACATAACAGCTGGCAGGTGGCTGAAAAGAGCTTGGGGATACAGGATGGTACTGAGACACACCTGTCGGGAGGACACTGGGTCAGGAGATGCTGGCTTTCTAGCTGGAAACCCCTAGAGAAATGATAATGTTCCCCAGATGGACGGGGTGTTTAAGGGAATCTAGAAGCTCCGCTATGGGTGGCTTCTATTCCCTGAGGCCCAGAGGATGCCTACTCCAACTGTGACATCTACTCAGACACATACACCCCAACACTTTTATCCCCTCCGCTCATTAACACCTAACCTATTCTTCCTTGTCCGGCTCTAAGACTAAGCCCCACGTGACAGGTCTGTGGCTGTTTTGTTCACTGCGGTATATTCACTGGGCACAACAGTACCTAACACACAGCAGGTGTTCAATGAACGTTTTCAGACCTTTAAACTGCAACTTTGAACCTGGAAAGTTAAGGGAAGCAATATAGGAGGGAACAGGAGAGCCAAGGTGCTTTTCTTCTAGTTACTTCCACCAGGCCACAGGTGTCTCCCTCCCGTGGCCAGCCTAACACACACACACACACACACACACACACACACACACACACACACACACACACACACGCACACACGCTCTTTCCTTCTGCCTCACTTCATCCCATTC